ATCATCATGATCATCCATCATTGTCAGTCTATACCATTGCCCTTATCATCAACATTCATTATTACCATCTTCATCAGCATGAGCACCAATCATCATGATCATCCATTATTGTCAGTCTATACCATTGCCCTTATCATCAACATCCATTATTACCATCTTCATCAGCATGAGCACCCATCATCATGATCATCCATTATTGTCAGTCTATACCATTGCCCTTATCATCAACATCCATTATTACCATCATCATCATCATGAGCACCCATCATCATGATCATCCATTATTGTCAGTCTATAATATTGCCCTTATCATCAACATCCATTATTACCATCATCATCAGCATGAGCACCCATCATCATGATCATCCATTATTGTCAGTCTATAATATTGCCCTTATCATCAACATCCATTATTACCATCATCATCATCATGAGCACCAATCATCATGATCATCCATCATTGTCAGTCCATACCATTGCCTTTATCATCAACATTCATTATTACAGTGATGATCACATCTCCTTTCTTTAGTAAGAGAAAGACCCTGGTTATCTTTCATACTTGTTTCAACTTCTGTGTAACCAGTGCGAGACACCTTACTTCCTGGATAGCAGAAGTCCACATTGAAGCAAAGTTATTTCCCCCTTTACATAATATCTACTGACTTATGTTACAGGAAGACAGAATGTCAAATGAAGCAAAGCAAGCAGCCACCAAGAAACTGAAGCTTCTTCCAGTAATATTAAAGCACCTTAACAAGTGAGTAATTGTATCGGCTTTCTCAAAGCTTCTCCAAGGCTTCTTCAAGCTTCACAATTACCATCAGTGAGTTATGCGTTCAACTGACACATTACAGCTTGTGGGTTTTCTGTTTTATTTTTCTCTGCATCTTTCATCATTGTCTTTCGTCATCTTTTAAATTCCAATTTCCACTGTGTCTAACCTTATTTTTATTCATTTTACAAAAAATCGTACTGCAGGCATAATTTAAAGCTGAATAATGTTTCTTTTTTTCCAGAGCTGATTTACAGTTCACATTTATAGATTCAGGGATTCTTAATGGAATTAAGGTACATATATTTTATAAATGACGTTGTTAAAGTCTTTTGAATATTCAGAAATTATTTGATGTTTGTATGTTTGTAGGATTGGCTGTCACCCTTACCAGATGGCTCATTGCCTCATTTACAAATAAGAACGGGCCTTCTCAAGATATTGTCTGCAGTAAGTATTAATCATCTTTCTAAATCAAAAATATTGATTACTGTGCAATATAAGTTGAATAAATTATTATTATTATTATTATTATTATTATTATTATTATTATTAATAATAATACAACACAAAACTGAAAAGCTTCTAGCTGGTTGAAAAACCTGGGACGCTGTGGTTGCTGTCGCTGTCATTGTTACTGATGCTATTGGTGCTTTTGTTTCTGCTGCAGCTATATTTGCTGTTGTCGTTGATGCTGCTGCTATTGCTGTTGCATCTAGTGATTCTGTGGTGGTTGTCGTTTCTTTGTGTATTCTTAAAGACTACGTATAACGTGTTCCCATTTCTTGTTTTGTTACTAGTTTCCAGCACTGGACACAGGGGCATTAAAGATGAGTGGACTTGGTAAAGCTGTTATGTATCTGTACCGACATCCTAAAGAGATAAGACAGAATAAGGACATGGCAGGCAAGCTCATCAGTAAGTTACGCAAGAGAAAGGGGAGGGGAGGGGCACGTGATGTCAGCCAAATTCCGTTTCATGGGGAGAAGGGTTGGGGGGTAGTGCATTATCCATAAAGGTAACGTAACAATGGTATCTGGGTAATATATAGATTCGTGTCAATAATCCTCGTTCCCCTCACCACACCTACTGAGATATTGGAACATTAGAAGCCCTAAAAGCCTTTTGTAGGTATTTTTTTTAAAAGCTGTATATCTTGTCTAAGATGAATGGGCTAGGCCTATATTCGGAGTAACATCCAACTTCAAGTCCATGTCCCGAGAAGAAAGAGAAGAACGAGATTATCAAAACATGTCTAAACGAAGAAGACTCAGTTCTACAGATGAAGGCAGCAAGACACCTCGTTCTATTGACCGTGCTCTCCACGGAGACAAAAAGTAAGCTTTTTGATATTATCTAGCGATAGAGTAGACTATAAAGTCTGGTTTTCACTTGCGACGAAGTGAAAACCAGAAAAATAAAGTCAGATGTGCGTCAGAAGCGGAATTGGAATGATCGGAAGGTTTTCTTTGCTTGGTTTGTGCATGAACTGCTTCCGATTCCAACTCCGATTCCGTCGCAAGTAAAAAGCTAAGTAGGACTGCTATTAAGAATGAACCACGTCGTCACGGTGTCTGAACTTGTCACGCAATAAGGCGTGACTACTCCTACTGTCACGGTGATGGTGAGCACTTGATAAGGTGTCACGACCTACATGTAAAATGCGGACCAATCACAGAGCGCAAGCCAACTGCTAAAGGTACCGACACGGTCACGGAACAGCAGGTTCACGCCAAATATTTTCCACAATCAAAACTTATGTACTTATTAAACCCTATTAATATTATTATTATTGATGTCGTTGCCTAGAGCTGCTCGTCCTGGTGAGAAGGGCTTTATCATGAGAGCGCGCGTCCCTGCGCCATCCAACAAGGACTACGTCGTTAGACCCAAGACAAACCTGGATAGCATGGACTTCAGAAGAGTAAGCAATCACATCTTTTCTATCTTTTTTAAAGAAATTCAATTACTCACGTACTGTTCCTGATAAAAATGCACACTCCATCCCAACAATAATTCTCTTGACCACAGGTAACCCGTATATTTTGAATGACACGCCTATAGCCCAATTAAATACTACCGTACTGTTCCTGATACAAATGCCCATTCCATCCCGACAATAATGTACCACAGGTAACCCATATATTTTGAGTGATACGTCTATATCCCAATTAAATACTAAGCATGCAAAAGATTACAAACCGTTTTTCTTGTATTTACCAGAATTCTCCAAAACTTCTTAGTCGAGTTGATAAACAAATGAGAAAGTTCAAGGATAGAAACAAAACAAAGGATGCAACTCTCGTCACCATCAGCATCGAAGGGCGAAAAATGGCGCTTTAGCCTGTAGTCATTTCATGTAGGATATACAGACGATAGGTATTATCGTGATTGGACGATTACTGAACGTTTCCGTGTGTTCTGATTGGTTGAAAGAGAAAGCCATTTGAGAGTCACACTATTCAAGCTACTTTCTTTATTTTCTTCATGTTCGCTGTTTGTAGACAGACTTTTGACTACAAATTGTTCTGTTACTGAAATGTATATTGTAAATATTTGAAGGCTTACATTACTGAATGATAAAATATTAACACTGTAAACTAAGAAAAAATATAAGCAAGCCTCGATGAATAGTCATTCTGTTGTATTTTTTAGTTGTTACCCTCTCTGAATACATTGAAACATTGCTTTGGAGAGCTTGGAGGAGAGAGACTAACGATCAGTCTACTTTCTCTCTTCGTACCATACATAAGTACGCATTGTAACAACTAAACATCTCTGTGCCTTCCAGTGATTCCAAGTACAGACCTGGACCAATAAATAAAAAGTTTGATATAACCTTGTTGATTGCTTGTATACGAACAGTGCATCCTCTTTCCCACATCCTACCCATTATTTCCCGTGAAATAAGTGGAAGTCAAAGGAAGAATGGTAGCGAGTTTTTTTCCTGCCGGAAATTGTGGGGCGTAATATAAGGAGGAAAAGGGAAGGCTCTGTAGCATTTGTTCCACTTCTAATGCTTACTTAATTCATTCCGCATTTTACAAACCTATTCATTTGATAGTTTATCCTCGGTTTAGGTACACTTGCTTTCATTTTATTGACTGTGTAGGACCATACTTCCAGACATCGAGTGCTGAACCGTCGTATGGCAGCGCGAAGCATTTACGGCTACGCCGGAGATTTCGACCCCGACACCGCTATCCAAGGACTTACAGACTGATCAGGAAGCTCGGTCGAAGCCTAAGGGAGAGGTTAGTCGGCCCCTAGACCGTAGATGATTAACCCCTTGCTATGACCAGCAGTCCCGGTTTGAAGCCAGTGTCGCTGATCACTACTCACCCATAGTCAGCCTTTTCCGTGTGGGATGCGTTTTGCAAAAATAACGCGCTAAACATATTTACACGCAAACTCAGTTGAATAAAAATTAAAATGGTCATAGTTTGTATCCTTAACGAAAACATTACAGTTGTATTTATATGGATAAAAGGTCTTCACCAGTTACAAGGCAACCCTGCCGATACTTAAAAATACAAATATTAGAATATTCCTTAATTTGAACAGACTTTTCATTAATGTTTACATTCACACCTGATATAATCAAATAGCTAGTTTTAGTACAAATTGAGATATTTTGTAAATCGACCAAAAACCGCAGGCTCTTTCTAGAATATTGCTGACTTTAGTTCAAGAATTATGCGTGTTTTTTTCCAAGACACTTTAAAGGTTCTTGCAAACCAGGAAAACGGCATCAAAAAGTATTGGATTATCGTGCGGTCGTCACCTGTTGTTTACCCTAACACTCAGTCGGTTGGCGGCAAAACAAGCTTCTTTCCTTCGCTGCTTTCTATATTAAATTATTAACTGCAGAAACATTGGAAGTAAATAACAAAAAAGATTTAGTTATATCAGGTACCCAACTGCGATTCTATTGTCAGACTGTGAAAATATTTACGAAGCCGCAGTCGGATAGGAATGCGAAAAAAAAACCAAGCGGAGAAAAGTAGTATTTTTGTATGATATTTTTAAAATTTTACTACGAATGTTATGCATTACATTGACACTTTAATAATTATTACCACGCATTATTACCATGTGTCTTTCTCTTAATTTCTATACACCTAAGAAAATTAGTTGTGTATTTTGAAAAGAAAGACACCAACATAGTGATGCTAATTGAGTTAAAATGAATTACAAACATAATGAAGTTTATAACAATTCAGTGTTGAATTTAAAGAAATTGTTTTGAATCGAATTGTGTAGCTTTCAAGACAAATCTCCAGCTTCCATAATGTTCCAATCCTTATGAGGAATGCGGAATACAACACCATTAACGTTATTTTGCGACTCTCTTATTAAACGCTCACTTTTATTTGGTGAGGCGAAATTCAAACTGAGAGTTTCCATCAATTTTTAATTCGTTAAAGGTTTAGTCATACGTCAATGTAAAAATCAACAAAAGTTAAACCTCAACCACTAAAGTCTTGGCTAATGTTCACGACGAAAATGAACGCAATGCATCCAGATGAAATGCTCTACTGAGATTCAGTCAGGTTCAAGTTCGATGCTTTTAGCTTGTCCAGTGAGGATTTTCCAATTGGTTTTGTTATCGTGTAGTTCAATAAGCACCTCAGATGCTAATCAAAGCAGTGCGATCAGCCGATTTCTTATTTTTCATGCGACATGTAAAATCCGAGTTGGCAGTTACTGGTAAAAATGACGGAGCGTGTGGTGATAAATGTTAGTGGAACAACCTTTGAAACCTTACCCGAGACTCTGAAACGTTTTCCCAAGACATTACTGGGATCTCCAAGAAAAAGACGAAGATACTACGACACGTCTATGAAAGGCTATTACTTCAATCGCCATCGAATTGCATTTGAATACATATTATTCTATTATCAATCAAATGGAAGGCTAGTCTTGCCTGTCGATGTACCCTTTCGTATTTTTACTGAGGAGGTCCAGTTTTTTCAGCTTGGAGAACAAGCGCTTAATTCCATTGCTAAAGGAATGTTGAAAAATAAAAAGAAATTACCGAACGGAACTTGGAGACAGAAATTATGGAATCTCTTTGAGCAACCGGATACGTCTATTTTAGCTCGAATAATTGCCATGTTCTCAATATCTATGGTTGGTGTTTCATTGGTATTGTCTTGTATAGAGACCATTCCTTCATTGAGAGTGCAAGATTGCTTAGATAGTGTACCGTCGAACAATAACAGCACCGTGCAATTTGAAGAACCATCGTATAACAACACTACAGGTTCTACTGGTTCTTTCACAAGATGTCAACAAAGACCCTTAAATGTGTTTATCTATGTGGAGACCATTTGCTATGTCTGGTTCCTACTGGAGTATTTGATTCGTTTATTGTCGTCTCCTGATAAAATCGACTTTTTCTGTTCTCTTCTCAATGTCATAGACTTATTAGCCATATTTCCATACTTCATCATCCTCATTGCTGGAAGCGAAAGGGTAGTTTCTCTATCTGTTCTGCGCATCACAAGATTGTTCCGAGTCTTCAGGATATTAAAGTTAACGCAGTATTCTAGTGGTCTTCGCATCTTAGGAAACACGATGCGCGCTAGTATGAAAGAACTCGAGATGGTGATGCTGTTTGCCCTTATTACAGTAGTCCTGTCTTCCAGCGCTATTTATTATGCAGACATAGATAGCAGTGAGACGAATTTCAACAGCATCCCAGGAGCAGCTTGGTGGAGTATAACGACTATTACTACAGTAGGCTATGGGGACTTGATACCCGTCACAGGACTCGGGAAATTCGTAGGATGTATCTGCGCAGTGCTTGGGGTTCTGATATTCTCTCTCCCTGTCATGGCATTTGCTACAAACTTCAACGCGTATCTCAAGTGTGAGCCAATACGAGGACAGCTGATGGACAGGAAGGCTAGCAGCAAGTCCTTCAAACGATCTAGTTCTTATTCTTCATACCGAACAAGTACTGACTACTGACATAATAATGTTAGTTGGCTGGCTGCCTTGAGTGGATTATTTTTAGGGGAAAGGACCCATAATCAGTAATCTAACCCCCCACCCCTCCCCCTCTCCGTTGTTGTAATAAAAAAATGTCCCCTCCCTTGTTTTCGATTCTGTTTATTCATAGTTAATAGAGATTAACTATTAACTATGGTTTATTGTAAAAGTGCTTGAACCTCTCGAGCCTGATTCCTTAATGAAAACACCCCCTTCAAATTCCACCGCCCTTCCCCCTCCCCGGTAAAAACAACGGTCACCTAGAGCGTGTATTGACTGGATGACCGAGTCTAAATTTAATGCAGACAACTACTGACCCAGATAAGCCAAGATTTGCAAACTCTCCAATGATTCTCAGATGTCATTCAAGAATGAACAATCGCCTTATTAACTACATCATAAAGGTTTTCCTTGTAAAGAATGTAAATGGAGTGCAATTAAATTGTCACTATTTGAAAAATCAGTTTTCAAGTGTTTGTTCATCAGGCTTGGCCAGATAACCTGAAGCCAGTTGTAGGCCAAATATACACTGCAATTCAAGTGTATCAATGTGCGTCATGATCTTGACTGAGAGTAAATGATATTTATATACTGATGTATTCATTCTATTAATGGTTATTTGGGTTATAGCTACAGAAGAGGAAGACTGAAATATCATTGACTTGCCAGTAATTTAAGAAAATTTCAGTCATGAGATAAAATACTAACACATCGAGAAGAATTACACGTACCTGAAGTAAAGAAAAGGTAAAATGAAACGGAAGCGATAAAATATACCAAACAAACATTTTCCTCTTGTTTTGATTGTGCGATGGATATTGTTTTTTTGAAAAAGCTGCGCGCACTATTTGATACTTTATCTAATAACGTGGAGCATATCTTTACTTAATATCAAGATCTTTATTAATGTATGGTACTCACTTTGACCGCATCAAATCTCTTCTTGTTTGTAAACTTTTGTTTGGCAAAAAGGAAAGAATACATTTGACGGGAGCAAAGTGATCCTAGATAACAATCTGAGCCAAAGGTCGACACGGCAAGAAGAAGTCGTAACCACGAAAAGAGAGTGACTTTGCGTAGTGGGTTGGCTGTCGCTCGCTTCTTTTTCATCATTCTTCCATTTTCTTTACTTCTTTCTCCTTTCTTTCCCACCGTTTCCTTCATTTTTTTAACTTCTTTTTCCCCTTTTTTAATTTTTGTTTTTATTTTCTTTATTATTTTACTTAGTATTATTCAGTTCCTTTTCGACGCAGCCATGACTCGAGGGGCCTACCAATATAAATATTCATTCATTATGTCCGCAAAAAGCTAAAACTCATCGGATTGGCCCCAAATTGCGTACAGAGACAAATAACAGCAGCAAAAACACACAGGCAAAAATTGGTAAGCTAGCTACAAAATTTGCTAAAGATATTACATTCCTTTGTACATTGCTTGGGCTTCCTGTGGTGTACGGCGCTAAAGACGGGAGTTAGCGTTGTTGGGGTTCCTGTGTGGTAACCAAGATATCTTGACAACAAACCTTCAAGATGGCGTCTGCGAATCCACTTCTGACTTTAGAGCGAATGTTAAACGGAAAAACCACACTAAAAACACAGAAAACAACCCACAATAATATCATATGTAAGTTATTAATCATTCAAAGCCATTTTTAAGCGTGTATTTTAATTAAATTAACTTTGCTTGAAAGCAAAACATGGAGAATGTTTCCGATATTTGTAGCTTGGTATTCATTCGAATGAAGCCATTTTAGTCTATAATAAACTTTTTATATTCACGAGTTCGATATATTTCAAATTTTACAAATCACAGAACCTTGTTTCTAAAGAATTCGAAGTTTTTTGGTATCACTGTGTCTTGATTATTTAGGGTCAGTGAAGAGGGACCCTGAGATCTCCAGCATGCAAAATATGTACCAATCCCTTATCCCCTTCTATATGAATCCTACTTTTGCTTCATTATATAATAGAGAGAAGACTAAATAGGAATAGAGTGTAATAGAATGCCAATCTTGTTTTAGTTCATGATTGCATCAAATTAATATGTAGTCTCTTGGCTTTCTACATGACCTTGAATATTTTACCTTTTATTAGGTATTGGCACAGAACTACTTAATGAATTGAGAAAAGTAATGGAAGAGGACAAAGACAAAGCCATCAAAGAAGCTGTAAGTCTTTATTGATATGCTTTACTGACTGCCGAGTCAAAACTCCCTGGAAATTATAATTCGGGAGGCATGGGTAGAATTGGATGCTAATGTGTCACTTTCACCACTGTGAGTCCAATGGGTCGGGTCACTGGTTCGAGCCATGAAGATGCCACATGTGAATTGAGTTGTAGCACAGCAGAGAAAAACACATTCCCCAATAAAAATCAACATGTGAGTCGAACGTTGTGTGCATAAAATAGTAAAAGGCCCTGTTACACATTGAAACTTTTAGCTTAAAATTGTGTGCACCAGCATTGCAAGACCAGTTTCACTGGGTTGTTACATGGTGCATTTTTGTCCTGGAACTTTTTTTGATGCACAAGTTTTGGTTGCACAGTAGAAAGCAGTTCCACTTTTTGTGACAAAAGCCAAAATTGTACCATATATATTTTCTTAATTACTTGGCTCCGACAACTAGCCAAAATTCCATTTTTTTAAGATTAACTATTGATGATTAAACGTAACTTGTTCTAACCATATGTCCAAGAAATTATCAAATATTGCTTATGCTCTATGAGTAGATATTCAGCCTAAGTCCTCCAATGTATTGATATTGATTCCAGTTGGCAGAAGCAGAGGCCAGAGCTCTTGCTGAAAGGATGCAAGCACTAGAAGAACTTAGAGAGAAAATGAATGATGAGAGGGAACAAGCCCTAGAGGAAGCAAGGATGGTAAGGTTTGCTTGTAGTGTTATTTGCCACACTCACCTTTCATCCCAGGTCAGGGGTCTCTAGGTTAACTCCTGGACTTGGCATCACATAGTATTTTTAATGGCTATTTGAATGCTGTTGGAGCAGTTTTTGTGTAATTATCAATGATAGGGTGTAACAAATGAGTAAAGGGGATTGGAGGCAATCTAAGACTATCATCACATTAAGGATAAGTAGCGATATTCCTTGGGTTGCTTGACCTTTTTACCTTGGACGTAATATTTTTCCATTTCACACCATGTGTCATCCTCTAGAGTATCATTACTTTGTTTAACGGTTGTGAATGAGAAGGGAAACTAATAATTGAAGCAACTCAAACAATAGACTTTTATTCCCAAGCTCATTCCCAATAGCCTTTGATTAAAAATAGGAAAACAACTCCCTTGTAAAATGATATTAATATTTATTTAATAATATTGATAATTCTTCAGAAAGCAGAAGAACAAATGGCTGAAATCAAGTATCGTTGTGAGGTGGCGGAGAAGAAGCGAGCTCGTCTCGCCTGGGAGAAATACATGAAAGAGAAGGCCGATGCTCTAGCTGACGCGGCGAGGAAAGCTGAAGAAGAGAAACAAGATGCTCTGAAGGAACTGACTGAATCACTCACGAGGAAGCTGAGAAATGAAGCTGCTTTAGAAAGAGAAAAAGCGGTTGGAGAAGCGCTTTCTATAGCGAGAGTAAGTCAAAAAAAGTTCTTCCCCGCTGTGTGAATCTTGACGCGCATTTTCCATTGTTAGTAACTTTTCTCGCCACACATTTTCTCTCATACGCGCGTTCAGACAAAAGCGCGGGAAACTATGAACTTTCATATTTATTTACTGAATGATCTTGACTAGGATTATTACCGACATTATTTTCTCGTAGAAAAAATTCGAGAGAAAACTAAAGGAAACGATAGACAAAACAACAGCTGAATGTAACGCAATGGCCGAAGCAGAAGCAAAACGCGTGGCCAGAATACACAAGAACCAAGTGGAAGGTCTCAACCAGAGGTATCACTCCACGTGAAGGGGTCTTCTGTTAGGTTCACTCAACATCCACTACCACTACATTAAATATTCGATGCATGCAACACTAAACCTGTCAGTTGCTAATTTTTTACGGAGGGAGGAAAACCGGAGAACCCGGAGAAAACCCTCGTGGCAAGGGAGAGAACAACACATCAAAGAAACTCAACTCACATGTTGATCTTTTATGGAGGGAGGAAAACCAGAGAACCTGGAAAAAAGCCCTCTTGGCAAGGTAGAGAACGGCAGGTCAAACAAACTCATCTCTTCACATATGTGGCTCAGTCGGGAAGGATACTTTAATTATTAGTATAACTTGATCTTTATCGCTTTCGACCTCTTTTTTAGGATAAACCAATTAAATGAAATACTTGATACCGAGAGAGACTCCGCCAAGAAGCTACACGAAACACATATTGTAAGTAAAGATAACCCTTTTGTGTTTGGGCTACCTGTGGTAGCGGCTAGGGGAAGCAGTAAGGGTACGAGTCCGGCGAGAAAGTAGTCCTGGTTAAGGTGGTGTTGGGGTTGGTTGTCGCCTGCTATTCAGCTGATTATTGGATGCATTTCTCATCAGCATGTTCTAAAGTTCTTTAAGAAACTTTCGTTTTTCCAAATATTCTCATCCTATCCTACAAATCTATCCAAGCGGTTTAACGTATTAGTTCACAATAATCTAACGACAGAGTAACTGATATTCTTCCTAGGCCTTGAAAGAAGATTACAAAAGGTTTCAAAACATAACAAGAGGATATCATTCTGACTTCCTGCTGAGATGACACAAGTACAGCTCTCTTCTTGTCGGTGTGGAACGAACAGCTGATCTTGCCAGATTCCAATTCAAAAATCAAAAGGGACTAAAATAATTTAAAGTAATATCAAATAGATATTTTGGTGTAAACACAACGCTCGTTTCACGGCTATGGCATATTTTTCAAAGCAGTTTATAACATGTCTGTTGCAATGGGCCTGACACAAGCGCTCTTTTATGATGTCGTCAGAAGAGAAGGATATTCTAGGAGTGCATCAGCATGGTGCTGACTCGTAGCCTCCACAGTGTTGGAAGAGACGGGCTTCGTTTCATGTAGTGATTGGAGCAATGTGGAGTAAACATGATGTCATGTCAGTGTGTGAGTATGATGGTGGCAGGACGTCTGTCACGACGAAAACAGTATCTTTCAAACAAAAATAATGTTTTTGGCCACAGATTTGTTTGTGCATAATCATGATTATACAGTAATCACAAGATAACGTGTTCAAAACACGATATTTATGTTTGTGTCTGTCAAACACCGAAAGCTTAAAGTCCTTTTGATGGTGTTTGTGTTTAGAATTACGCTTCATTATAGATTACTCTATCCATAATAAAGACTAAGGCGGTCGGTACTTGCCTATAACGATACAATTTGTTTTCTATGGGTGATTCTTTCTCGAGAAGCAAACAGATTTAAAGGCTTGATTGCGCATGCACTGAAGTAGTTGGAAGTTTTATTATTTGTGGTATAATATGCTACACATAAGGCCCTGGCTAAACGAGGAAACGTGTTTCCAGAAACATGTTTACCGCGCGCATGTTTCCTCGATGTTTCCCAATTTAGCCACATGCGAAACATTGCTGCGTGCAACAAATTTTGCTTCCAAGACGCAAAAAGTGTTTTTGCTGTACGGCAGAAAAAATTATATGTTTCCAAGACGCATGGAAACATTGTTTCCCGGTGTTTCCTGACAGTTTTGCCACCTTAGGAAACATTTAGGGAAACATATTTCCTCGTTTAACAATGGCCTAACAGTTGTTAAAGAAAACATCGATTACACACAAAAAATCTTTTGCAATTTAGATTACAGTTAGGAGATGTATTTCTAAAATATACGGTGAGCACATCTATCGTCTTCAGTTATAGTGGACGTAAAATGTATAAATGTACACCATCAACTCTTATGCTCTAGAAATTATTACCCAGAACACGACAGATGAAAAACTATCACCGATTCCTCTCACAGCGCATGCGTAAGATTTTAGTACCGTAAGGAATTATGGGGTTGAATCCAACTAAAACCTATGAAAGCCGAGCTCTGCACGCAGTCTTCGCTTTAAAGTCACATGAAGTTGTGAGCATCTCCGGGTAGGATTTTTTTACGCCTTTGAAAATCAAGGTATTCAGTCGTCACTCGTTTGTCTTTACCAAGCTTAACTTGCAGTATAATTTGGTCTTGTGATGTCTAGCCTTCCTTCTGACGCATAAGATTCTATCGAAGGTAAGATGATATTGATGAATACTCTGTGCAGCTAGAATATTGCTGACTAATATGGTGTCTTCATTGTAAGTTATGCCCAAATGAATCATTTCTATTTTACTGGCCCAAACTGTCTTTACAGGTCAGCCATGTCCTGCATTCTTGGAGAAGGACAAACCAAAGTGCGAGCAAACAGCAGCAGAATTCCTCAAGTTTCGCGCACAATTCAGAAGGGAGATCGTTGACTTTTTTGGTAAGACTAAAATCCAAGAAATGTCAAGGTAAATCATAGTGGTATTAGCAGAGACCCAGTATGTGTAATTCTCTTTACTTTGTGTGTGTGTTTACTTATTTCTTTACCTTTCCATCAGTTTTCTTGTAATGTGATTTAATGTAGAAAAATAATAAAGTATTATTTAAGAAAGAGTGTTTTTTCAAAGGATATCGATTACTAACCAATTACATGACTTTTAATCTAAACTGTCGTCAGTCGGCCACACATTTTCGTCGTCTGTTCGCTTTTTTTTCTTTTTCTTTTTGTTTTTCTTCTCTTTTCTTTTTTTTTTTTTCTTTTTTTTTTTTTTTTT